AATATTTTTTAAAAAGGAGCAAAATAATCTCTTTTTATTCTCTTGACCTTCCAGCAAGTTTCACTTGAAAATAGACAGCTTCCACGTGTCTTTTTCTCTTTCAGCTGCCTCTCCCTCCTGTCGCCCCTAATGACTGTGACCTTAGTGACCTTCCAGAATATCCATATGGCCCTTTTTCTCCTCAACCAAGCAACACCATACCTGCTACACAAGGGCTTGAGTTTCATAATATTGTTCCTAAGCCTGGCCTCTCTCACTGCCTGGCATTGTGTGCCTGCCACGGGACCGGGCTGGCTCGTAAAACATCTCTTTATGTACTTTATTACTTAAACTCTTTTATTTGCCTGCAGGAGCCCTTTAACAAAATCACATTGAATTGACTTTCTCACACCAAATCAAATCTCCCTGGTCCCAGTTCAGTTGTCTTTGTCAATATGTATTTTATAAATGGAGTGAATTAACAGATGCTGTTGGAACAGAAGTGCTGGGGTAGCGTTTATGTTTTTAGTGCTCTCTCTGGGCAGATGAGTTGTGTAGGAGTGTTATACAGGTATCTCAGGATGAAAGTCATGCTCATCATTTCACAGCTTATGTATTCTTAACCATTTTCTTTGAATATATTTTAAACTTTTTTATTGCTCTCTTTTTTTCTACCTATTTGCTTACAGGGTCTTACCATTTATGCCATTAATCTTGGGTTGGACTTCATTATATCCTTTGGCGTTAAAAGGTGAAAATTAAAGCCTTTCTGCCATCCAAAGAAGGAGCTCTGGTGGCACAGTGGTTGAGGCATTTGGCTATTAACCAAAAGGTTGATGGTTTGAACCCACCAGCTGCTCCATGAAAGAAAGATCAGGCAGTCTGTTTTTGTAAAGATTTACAGCATTAAAACCCCTATGGGGCAGTTCTACTCTGTCCTAAAGAGTTGCTATAATCCCAAATTGACTTGATGGCAGTGGGTTTAATATCATTTAAAGAAAATAGGATTTTCTTTTAGCCATGAGACACTGATCTTGACACATATATTGCCTTATTTCTATTGTAAATTTTACTATGAATCCTTTGATATGAAACTCTGGGTTGAAATTGCTTTGAAATAGGACAGAGTTTCCATGTCCTGGATTCTGCCTTCAATAAAATGAATGACTCAGAAAAAAAAAACAAACTGACTGCCGTCGAGTCAGTTCAACTCATAGCAACCCCTCCTTGGGTTTCCAAAGCAGTATCTCTCTGGTAACATAGTGCCTAAGGCACTTGACCGCTAACCAGAGGCTGGCGGTTCAAACCCACCAGCCACTCCTCGGAAGGAAGGTTGGACAATCCTATTTCTGTAGTGATACTGCCTCAGAAACCCAAGAAGGGGTTGCTATGAGTCGGGACCAACTCGACAGCACATAACAACAACAACAACAACATCTCTACAGAAGAAGATTGCCTAGTATTCCTTCCAAAATGAATGATATACCATTGTTTATTCATATGAATTTAGGAACTTTGCAAAAAAGAAGAATAACCACATGAATCATGGCTTAAAAGTTGTTTTGAAAATATTTCCTCAAAGATTGTAATGATTTGGGGGGGCACTTTTACTCTACTCTTCTTTCTCAGTCTTGTGGTGGTAGCCGTAGAGACATCTACTGGTAAAAACAAGTATGCATTTCTTTTCTCATTCTTTTTCACCAATTTTTTCAGTTTGTCCTAAGAGTGTCAAATCACAAATCTTTGTGGGTTTTTTTTTTTCATTTTTTTGTTTGTTTTTGTTTTTGACATTCTTCAAGGCCTAAAGCATAATCCCTTAGTTTAAAATGCAGTCCCATGGTTAATTCCAGAGTTCCATAGTGATCTGCCATATCCTAGACTCTGTTTTTACTGTTGTACTATTTTTATCTCAGAATAGTTATTCATAGTTCTTGGTCTTCTTTTGGAAAAATGAATACTAGTTTTGCATATATAACAATTCAGAGGTTCACCAACAGCTGTGCTTAAATTCTTTCCTCTTTAGCTCTGAACATTAAATAAGTATTGGTAACATATTTGAACTATTCGTTTCCTCTATTATTTTCTCCATTGCATCCCCTCCAGTAGAAGCTATCCAAGGAAAGACAATATATTCTGTTATATCTGAAAAATAAACAACTAATAGTTCAATGTGTACTGTACCATTTAATAACATCTGCATCTTGTTCAAAGGGACTCTTCACCTTTGTACAAATTTAATGAAGAACCTCTGGAAAAATAGATCTATCCATCAATAATGCATGACCTATTTTGTTTTTCTTTGGGCATATTTAAAATTGTGCATTCTATGTGTCAAAGTTCAAAAGTCAAGTGCTACATGATAAATTAGGTAGGGGTCAAAAGTTATTGCAATGCAGTTTCAGAAGATTGTCTGTCTCTGAATTTGCAGCTCATTCATGCTGAAGTGATGCACTATGGGAATTACTACCAAACTCTGCTCTGCAACATCTGCTCTCCCTAAGTGAGTTAGTGCACGTCAGACATCTTTATGTCAGAATATTGCAGTGATGGATGCAGTCTTCAGAAAATGCTGCATAAAAATCTGGTGTGCCGTTCTGGCCATTAAGTGAAATTACTATTTAAATTAATGGCACTGTCACAGTTTATCTGTGCAAAGAATGAACGCTGATTAGGGTATTAAGTAATTAGCAATTTATCACACTGGAACAAGGTTGATAATAATTAAAGAAGTAATGGTTTACCAAAGAAACTAGAAAGGGAGTCACTTCTTGTTATGTGAGTGAGATCTTGGCTGAAAATTTTAATTCTGTTAAACAAAGATGAAGCTCTTTGTGAAAGAAAGCATCCTTTCTATTTCTAGTACAAAAACAGTTCATTATCAAAATTTTAGTTGACCTGTCAAAAGTCCCTCAGAGCGATCAGATGACTGATTAGGAGTTTCGAATTAGGTCAATGTCTGCATTTTGATTTTATACTTAAAGCATGGTGAAGCCAGAAAGTGATTTGGGAGTGGAGGGGGAGAATGTCTTCTGCTCCCTAAAGAGCCAGTTTTCAGATTTTGATTGCTCTTTAAAATAGAAACATGAATTGTTTTAAGAAAGCTACTTGAGAAAAAAATGAGAGTAACTTAACTAAGGCTGTATTTAAATGTCTGATCAGAAAGCAGCAGAGAAATGTCCAAACAAAATAAAGCTAGAAGCTGTGGGTCTATCATATATTGTTAGTTATAGATAACAGTTTACCTTCCATAATTAAGACTCAGGCTACAATAATGGCCCTACTGTGTGTACTTATCGGAGACAACTTTTTCTGGGAATGTTAAAACAATGAAAATTATTAATGAAAACCCAAGAAAACAGCCTACTGTCAAGCCAATTGCTTTGAACAGTGATCATACTTACATAAACATGGCATGTCAAAACTCAGTTTTAATCAGCATATTCCATTAACCATAAATAAAAATTTAAAACATATTGGAAGAAAATATTAAAATTGGAAAAATCAATGAGAGCGTTCTTTGAGGTCATATATGAATAAACATCTTTCTCAAGGCATTTTAAACAAGCCAAGCCGGTGCCTACTTTTAATGGTGAGAAAAGTGCTTAAAACTCTATTATTAGAAATGTCTTTCATAATGTAGGTGTTTGAACAAGACCCAACTAAACAATTCAGGATCCTGGGGCATTTTGAATTTGAGGTGCTGTATGTTATCACCAGGGAATACTAATAAATAAACAAAATTCTAATTAAAATAAATCATTCATCACATTGTGGTGCTATATAACTAAATCTAAATTCTAATATGAGAATATTGTGACAAAGAATAGGCACCTTAATTTCTAGCTTAATCTGACTCTAGGGTATTGTTTATTGATTCATGCTTTTATGTCTAAATTTCTGCTCTTTGTATTCTGTGGCAATATCTAAGTGATGTAAACACAGGCAGTTAAGCTTAACCTGACAGGAGAAAATAGTCTATTTGGTAGCAGAGGTATGTGTATCTTTCATCAGGATATGGAAATCAGTGATCTTCCTTAAGGGTTTTCTGCCTGTACCCCAACTTCACCCATGTCTAGAGATAGTTCTAGAATGCAGTTGGGCTCAAAAATAGTGGGCTGATTGGTTAACCTGTTCAGTGAACATGTTCAGCCAGTTTTAGGCACAACACCTATCTCATAAAGGCTACTGTTTTCATAAGGAAATATTTGTAGCCTAGACAAAGGAGTGGTACAATGGTTAAGTGCTTGGTTGCTAACCAAAAGGTTGGCATGTCAAACCCACCCAGCAATCCAGCAGCTCTACAACATACCAACCACATAAAAAAAAAAAAAAATTGTCATCCAGTACATTACAACTCATAGTGACCTTATAGGACAGAGCAGGACTGGTCCATGGGGTTTCCAATACTGTAAATCTTTACAGAAGCAGACTGCCTCATCTTTCTCCTGAAGAGCAGCTAGTGGTTCAAATTTTTTGGTTAGCAGCTGAGTGCTTAACTACTGCACCACTAGGTCTCCTCAATAGCAACAATGGTAGCCCAAAACTTACAAGGCTCCTCCTACCCAGCCTCCAGGTCTGGAATAGTGTGTTATCTTTCTATTCTGCATGGCCTGTTATCCCCAGGTACTCGTGACCTCCTCTCTCTTTACCCTTGTGAATTTCTAGAACCTTCGATGAGATCCTGTAGTTGAACAAACCTTTTGCTATCAACACTAAATGGACAGGCAGTTTTTATGACAGAAATCAGATCTTTTTTTATGGTGCAAAGAAGTTTGGCTCAGCAGATTGATTTCAGAACACTTTCTCTTGTGTGTTCTTTCTGCAATTAGTGTCTAGTGCTTTTGGTAAGAAGGACCCCTGACTGCACATTTAAATCACCTTTGCAGGGAAACTCTACCTTAGGTATTGTACCATTTCAGCAGCTGCCTGAGTCTGACATTTTTATACCAAACTTTATAGCAGCCTCAGTTTTCTCCCCTTTTTTTAATTTCATATTCATATATAACATTTTATTGTTGCAGGGATGTTCTGTTGTGGGCAGGATTATGTGAATATGTCAGATACCATATGCTGCTCAGCTTCCAGTGGAGAGTCTAAAGCACATGTTAAAATGAATGACCCAGTGCCAGTAAAATGCTGTGAGACTGAACTTATTCCAAAGAGCCAGCAATGTTGTAATGGAGTTGGATATAATCCTTTGAAATATGTTTGCTCTGACAAGATTTCAGCTGGAATGATGATGAAGGTAATTGATAGAAAGCCTCTCGGAGGCACTGATTTGACAATGGAAAGAGAAATACATTGTTCATAACTATTTTTCTAAAATAGGAATATAAAAACTCCTGTGTGCATTATTCATTTTCACATTACATCCATATTAATACCAAATGAGTTTGCTATGATTGATGTTATTGCAATGAATTCTAAAGGAATTAATAATGATTATCTGTTCTTAGGAAGCTTTACCCAGCACTTCAGATTAGTATAGGAACTGAAAATATAGGTGCCAAAGATCTAGCACAACAGTCTGGGGCTTCTGCTTGAATGCAGATTCATGCCAGGGGTGCTATGGAGGAAGACTGAAGGAAATTCCACCTACTTTCCTCTAGCCTCTCTAACTATAATTCACTCGCCTTCTATGGAGACCTTAGATCCAGCAAATTCACTTAGTTGTGCTTATATAAACTTCCTTGTGGGGAATGCAAGATGATCAAATGTCTCTCTGTCAACCACAAAAATGTTGGGTGTAATCATTTATGTTTATATGCTGTGATGCTTCACCTACAATAATGTCATATTTATTAGCACTAAACTTGACACAGGACTCCAGAGGCATACCATTGTAAGGAAAGGACTATAGTCATTTAAAAATAAACAACAATAACAAAAAAAACACTTTACCATGTTCTATGGTAATTTACATTAAGATATGTCTAAAAATGGATATCTTGGTGCAGAGTGAGGTAACTACACAATCCCTTTGTGGCAATCAGACATTTTGGGATGGGAAATAACTCTATGAGAGTGTGAAGGACCCAGTGAGCACCTTGTAATAATGAATTCCTAAGATAAAGCTGAAAAGTTGTAAGTTCTAATTCATCCAGAAGTGCACCTCGGAAGAAAGACCTGGTCACCTACTTTTGAAAAATCAGCCATTGAAAGCCCTATGGAGTACAGGCCTTCACTGACACACATGCGATCACCATGAGTTAGAATTAACTCAATGGAACTGTTTGTTTTTGTAATGGAAATCCTACTATATTTTTCTGAAGCAGCTTTTTTTTTTTTCTTAATTACATTTTTGAGAATAACTTAACTTATTTTCTGTAGGAGACAGGTTGATTGTAGATAATTTTTTTAAAAGCAAAATGTATTTTAAATGTGTTATGCTATTATACAAAAGAAAGGAGAGAAGGTAGAGCAAGATATCAAAGTGAGTGGAGCTCCTACTTACTCCCCCAGCAACTAATCCACTGAACAATGAATAAAAACACAAACTGAGATGGCAGCTGAGGTGTTGGAGAGTAAGAGTGGGTCCAGAAGTTGGGGGCAAGAAATGGCACAGAAACTGGAATAACCTACTACACACATTGGGAGCACTCACTCACAGCCATTTTAGGACAGGGTTGAGTTCCCCAAACCAGGGAACACAGACAAAATGCCAGTCTGAGTACACTATTGCCTGATTATATTTAAGGTGGTACAAATTAGCAGTGAGAGTCAGGGGCTGTGCAATTGGCAGGGGGCAAAGGGAGACCATGGCACTGAAAGAGAGTGCTATTGAATCTTGCTGAAGCCCAAGAGCAACAGGTACTAGGACTGGGAGGAACAGCAAGGGCATCAGTGTAAGGGGAATGCATTAGACTGAACAGAGAAACATGGAGGGAAATGAAAAACTGCAATGTGGGAAAGCTATGCACAGTCAACCATGAGGAAAAGACATTGAGAGCTTCCTACCTCCCCACAGAAAGTCAAACCGTACCACTTGGATCTGTGACTGGTTAAACTCTTCCCTCCCATACATGTATGGAATTCCATAGATCAAGCACCCAGAACTCCTGAATCAGCATTGAGGAAAAAAAAAAAAAAAAAAAACCCTAAGGATAAGAGTGTACCCCTGTGGTTTTCAGAAGATACTAAGCCTACTGCCAGTGGACTGCTTATGACTCACAGTGAACCTGTGAGTTTCCCAAGGCTATGAGTATTTGCAAAGGTGGGCTGCCACATCTTCGTCCCTGTGGAGTGGCTGGTGGGTGAATTTGCCAGCCAGGCACTTGGCTGCTGCACTACCAGGTGTCCAATCAAAAACTTTTCTCACAAAAACAAGAACACAAAATTTAAAGTAACCAAGCAAAATAGATGAAGTTCAACAAAAGATGTTAAAACACACAAAATCACAAGAGAAGAAGGACCAGTCAAAAATCAAAACATAAAGAAGAGGAAATTTCTTCTATGGAAGCCAAAATAATACAAAAAAAAAGAGATACTTTTCAGACTATGATACTAAATATATTTAAAGAAAGCAAAAAGCACACAGAAAACAAAGTAGTGGAGATCAGGGAACAAAATAGTGGAGATCAGGAGGCAAATGGAGGAGCAAAAGGAGACTTAATATGGTAACTGAAAATGTCAGAAAAAAATAAATAACCTCTGGAACTGAAGAATAAAATAACTGAATTAGAAAATGCAAGAGAAACACTCAACAGCAGAGTCAGACAGAAGATACAGGAAATGAACTAGAAGACAAAATAACTGAACTTATCAAGTCTCAAGAGAAAAGAACACACACACACACACACACACAAAAAAAAAAAAAAAACAGTGAAGAAATCCAAAAGAAAATATGGGGTTCAATTAAGAAATATAACAATAGATTCATGGAATCCAAGAGCACCAAGACAACAATAAAGGCATAGAAAAATTTTTTTCCAGAAATAGAGAGATTTTCCCATATCTGAACAGAGAACCAAGCCTGCAAATACTAACCTAAATTAGAGGAGACACAGAAAGATCAACCCTGTACCATATCTTAATAAAAATTTTGAAAACCAAAGATGAGGAGAGAATTCTGTAAGCAGCAAAAGAAAAATGCAATATAACATATCAATGGGCTTTTGTAAGAATCAGTGAGGATTTCTCTAGAGACCAGTAGACAATGGAATAACATATATAAAATACTGAACAAAAGCAAAAGCAATTACTGACCAAGAATTCTTTACCTAGCAAAGTTTTCATTCAATAACAAAAAGAAAATCAAGACATTCCAAAACAAATGCAGGGAATTTGGCACCACTGGACCAGCTATGTAAGTATTTTTCAAGGGAGTACCAAATTAAAAGGCAAGAGCATTAAATTAACACTCTCATCTCCACATGGGAAAAAACTGAGAGAGAGGTAAAAAAAAATACAAAAGAGGGACAATTATAAGAATCAAGTATATGATATTTTCAAAGAATAAACTTAATAATTAACTTCTGCAAATACATCGATTTTGTAAAGAAATAAGTACAAAATAAACTTACCAAATATACGTTGTATATGATATTAATAGAGAAACACCAAAAGAAATGGGGAAGGGAAGAGCATATCAGGAATAGATTTATTATGTTAAGGTAATATGTTAATTGTTGTTCATATGTTAAACACAGTTGCAGTTGTAAGTAGCGAAATGTAGCATATCTGATAACCACTAAGAAATCACCAAGAAGAATTATTCAGAAGAAAAGAAAGAAGTTAGCAGAAATGTTCATCACAAGAAAGCAGCCAAATACAAACAAAAGTAGAAAAATCAAAGTGAAAAAAAGACATATGAAACACTCAAAAAACAAGCATCAAAATGAGTGATGCAGATGCTTCATCTTCAGTAATAACTTTAAATGTAAATGGTCTAAATACCCCATGCAAAAGGCAGAGAGTCACAGAATGGATAAAAAAAGATAACAATCCATCTTTTTACTCCCTACAGGAAACACATTTTAGACACAAAGATACAAACAAACTGAAAATAAAAAGATGGGAAAAAATACTCCATGCAACAAGTAAACAAAAAAGAGTAGAGGTGGACATAATGATATCAGATAAAATAGACTTTAAATCAAAATCTATTATAAGAAATAAATAAGAGCATATAATAATAAAAGGGTCAATCCAGCAAGATGACATAACAATTAGAAATATATGTATGTACCTAACAGCAATGCACCAAAATACACAAAACAAATACTGACTCATATGAAAGGAAAACTAGATAACTCCACAATAATAGTAGGGAATCTTAACACACCACTTTCAGTTATGGACAGAACATCTAAAAAGAATATCACTAAGGACATTGAGAACTTAAATAAAAACATACGCTAATTGAACCTAACAGCTATACATAGAACATTCCTTCTAGCATCAGAAAAATACTCATTCTTCTCCAGTGCACATGGATCATTTTCCAGTATGGTACTGAACAAAACCATATACTAGACATAAGTGCCTCAACAACTATAAAAGGATTAGAATCACACCAAGTGCCTTCTCTGACAGTGATAGTATGAAGCTGGTATCAGCAACTGGAAAAAACTAGAGGAAAAAATACATGGAAAGTATTATTTAAAAATTATTGGGTCAGAGAAAAATTCAAAATTGAAAATTAAAAGTTCCTAGAATCAAATGAAAATGAAAACACAGCGTATCAAAACCTTTGAAGCATAGCAAAAGCAGTACTCCGTAGGAAATTTATAGCAATAAATGTCTACATTAAAAAAGAACCAAAATATTTAGTTTAAACTGGCAATGTGAACTGATAGAAAAGGAAGAGCAAAAGAAGCCAAAAGCTACCAGAAAAAAAAAGTGTGTGTGTGTGTGGGGGGGGGGGCCGTAAAAAGGAACAGCCCAGAAATAAAAGAAATAGAAAGAATCAACAAAACCAGCAGTTGGTTCTTTGAAAGGATCAATAGAGTAGACAAATCACTGGCTAGATTGGCAAAAGAAAAAAAAAAAACAGAAGAGGCAAATTACCACATTAAGAAATGAAATTGGTGATATTACAACTGATCCTACAGAGATAAAGAAGATCATGATTACTATGAAAAAATGTATTCCAACAAATGTGAAAACCTAGGTAAACAGACAAATTTCTAGAAACATCTTATCTATCAAACTAAAATAGTGTATAAAACAATGGAAAATAATGATATAATCATGTTATTGATGAAGAAAAGGCATTCAATAAAATGCACCAGCTTTTCCTGATAAAAACTCTCAGCAAAATAGGAATGGAAGGAAAATTTCTCAACATAATTAAGGATGTATATGCAAAGCCAACTGCCAACATTATACTCAATGGAGAATGGCTGAGAGCCTTCCATTTGAGAATGGGAACAAGACAAAGATGTACATTATCACCACTCTTACTCAACATTGTACTGGATTGGAGGTCCTAGTCAGAGCAATAAAACAAAAGAAATAAAAGGTATCCAGATCAGAAAGGAAGAAGTCAAACTATGTTTATTTGCAGATGGCATGAACCTATATATGGAATACCTTAATATTCCACAAGAAAATTGCTGGAACTAATAGAATTTAACAACACTGCAGGGTACAAATTCAACAAACAAAAATCAGTTGGGTTTTTCTACACTGAAAAGGACTACTCTGAAAAAGATATGAAAAACCAATGCCATTTATGATAGCCTGCAAATTGATAGCCTCCAAACATAGTTCACAAAAATCATGATCTGAATCCTAGTGAAGTGAGTAACATCTGGTATCTTAAAAGCTTTCTAACAACCATCTAAGATACAACTATGGGACGACTCTACTCATCTTGAGCAAAACAGTAAGAAGTTAACCAAAAGCTCAGAGAAGAAACAAATCTACAGGAGCCACAATCTCATCTACCTTGAGACCAGAAGAACCAGATAGTGCCTGGATACCACTATTGACCATTCTGATAAGGGTCACAATAATTAATTCTAGATGAAGTGGGACAAAAATATGGAGCAGAACTCAAATTCTTATTAAAAAAAAAAAAAAAAAAGCCAGGCAACTGGAACAATAGAGAAAATAGGACTGCCTGAGACTATAACCCTGAGACACTCTTTAAACCTAGAATGGAGCCTATCCCCTGTGATCATCTTTTCGCAAAATAGTAGAGTGACACACAAAATAAAAGATAGTGCCTAAGGCACTTAACTGCTAACCAGAAGGCTGACGGTTGAAACCCACCAGCCACTCCTCGGAAGGAAGATGAGGCAATCTACTTCCGTAGTGATACTGCCACGGAAACTCAAGGAGGGGTCGCTATGAGTCGGTCCGACTCAACGGCACATAACAACAACAACAACAACAACAAACAACCCATAAAATAGAAGGCTGGAAGTTCAAACCCACCAGCCACCCCTCAGAAGGAAGATTGAGCAATCTACTTCCATAGTGATACTGCCTCGGAAACCCAAGGAGGAGTCTCTATGAGTCAGATCCAACTCAACGGCAGTGAGGTTTTTCTGTTTGTTTGTTTGTTTTGACCTATATAATTGATGCCAACATAAAAATCATCAGTGTGAAACCAAACAGTCAATAATTACTCAAAAGCAAAGATGAGAAGACAAGGGGGCAGGGAAACTGGAGTACTGGAAAGGGAACAAACCGAACACAACTAAAGAGAATGTTGACACATTGTGGTAAATCTAACTAAGGTCATCAAACAATTTGTGTAGAAATTGTCAAATGGAAGTCTAACTTGCTGGGTAAACTTTCACCAAAAACTCAATAAAATATTATTTAAAGAAATAAAAGAAAAAGGAGTAGCTCTCTGCTTTATTAGAATATTGTCTTATTTCATATCTACTGTAATTTGGGCTGAAGAAGCTCAGGAGGCATAGTGGGTAAGACATTTGACTGCTAACCAGAAGGTCAGTGGTTCAACCCCACCTGCTGCTCCATGGGAGGAAGAAGAGGCAATCTACTTTTGTAAAGATTTACAGCTTTGGAAGCCCAGTCAAGGATTCTATGAGCCACAAATGAGTTGATAGAAGTGGGTTCGGTTTTGTGGTTTGGTAATTTGGGATAAGTATTTAATTTTTTTCAGAGTAGAGCACACTATTTCTTACCAATAACTACAAAAGAACCAAAGGATTCATCACAGAAAATGTTTATAAATATAAATGATTATAAGTATAATGACACCTTCTGAAATATTTAGATTTTCTAAAGCTTCAATGAGCATTTTACCTTATGGTCCAAAGTCCCCCATGGGGGCAACTTTCCTGTGAACACAGAAAGTCCAGATTCTGAAAGATCACATTATTTTCTCTAAAACTCTGTTAGAAAATTGTCAAAGTAACAATAAAAAATAGTGACTTTTGTTATTTAGATCATTAGTATCTACTGAAGTTAAGGCTTTTATAAATGATTCACACAACAAACTACATGGTAAAATTAATTTCCATTTCACCAGTAAAGAAATGGAGGCTTTGAGAGCATAAAGTAACTGCTCTTTCTAGTATAAAACCTATGCTCATTCTGTTTATAATTTTGAAATCGTCATTTACAAACTATGTGGAAGAAAATTTCATTTCAAAGTTATAAAAACCTACCCAGCATATGTCTAAATGAATGTTTAAAATACCCTTTGTCCTCTCTTTTCACCCCTGCCACCTGACTTAGGAAATCAATGAATGCACAACTCTCTGCCCAGCAACTATGGAAGCAACTGCACATTGTGGCCGATGTGACTTGACCTTTAGCAGCCACATCTGCACTGTGATAAAAGGGTCTCACAATTCCACGGAGAAGGAATCAAGGGAAGAAATATGCTCCTCTGATGAAGAGATTGTTCATACGGGGAATGCAAACATACACTCCTTCACAGGTAACAGAAAGTGAGTTATCTGACCATTGGTTAGGAAGGATAGTGAGAAGACACTATAAAAAGCAGATTTATTTCACTCTAGACATTACCTCTCTTTTTATCCTAATAGCAGTTAATTACATGACACTTTGGGGTCAGCTAGTTACAAGGTAAATAAAGGCATAATTTGCATTTGTTAAAAGTTGGTAGTTTAAACATTTTTAAAGTCTAACTATAAATAAGGATGAATACTATTTTAAAGTTAAATTGTGGAGAGTAAAGAACAGAGAACCTTTTTTGGTTATATCCAGTTGTGGTGGTTATGTTTTTTTTTTTTTTTTTGTCAATTTGGCTAGGCCTGGTTGAGTGGCTGGGCAGCTAGCTGGATGTAGTATTTCCCATGATGAGACTGGCAATCTCATGGTGGAATCTACTGTGAGCAGCTGAGTAGCTGCCTTGAGTATGTGGTCTGCTTCCTGTACATAAGCAGCAGCTTTGGAAATGGTCTCTAGCTTATGGCACGCTTGGACCCTGCATGTGGCCATGTTGTTCAGCAGTCTGCCATGCTCTGCCGACCTTGGGACTTACAATGGACTTACGTCAATGGCCTGCCGTATGGTTTGGTAACATCAGGATTGTGCCATTTTATTTATTGACCTTGGGCTTGCTAGCCTCAGCAGCCAGTAGCTGTCTGAGTGAAGGGATACCTCTAGCTTCCATGGGCAGGGAGCAAGAGGCGAGCTGAAGCCCAAGATTAAGGGGCTTTCACCCAGCCCCTAGAGCCTGGCATTTTGAACTTGGACTTAAAGCCTCCAAATTGTAAGAATAAACTCCTGTTTGTTAAGGCCATCCCATTAGTGGTATATTCTTGTCAGAGTGACACTAGGTAACCAGAACACCAGTTAACTAAGAATGAAACACATTTTCTTTTTCCAAAGTTTGAATGCAGATTTTCAGTGAATGGAATGAATGAATGTTGCTATACTTGCAAGCAGAAAGGAGGGTGGAACCTGTCTGGTTACTAGTGAGACCTACAGCATTATTCTGAGGAAAAGGGAAACCCAAGGCTGGTGTTTCCCCAAGATAGCTGATCATCTCAGAAATAATAATCTTTACAGTTATTTAAAAATACTAATCTCTGAGCACCATCCTGTCCCTATTGAATTAGTTCAAAATAGTGATTCTTATCCCTGGCTAAGCCATGTGTGAGAAACATTCTAAAGTATAAAATTAACTCCAAAATATAGTTCTACCTTTTATTTATTTATTTTTTAATTATGATTTGTGTGAAAGTTTACAGAGCAAATTCACTTTCCATACAGTATCTCATATACACTTTCTCTCATAACATTGACTACAATTTTCCACAGTGCAACAGCTCCTTTCCCACCTCCTCCCCATAGTTCCTTCTTCTCTATTTCTTTACTTCCATGCACTCTTGTCCCCTGAGCTGTCTTCCTATGCACACACACCCCTTCTATTCTCTCAGTTGTTCTCTCTGAGAAATGTATCTACCTAATGTAAATATTCAGGTCATATGCTTGTCTTTTGTTTGGCTGGAAGCCACAAAAGTGGGTTCTATTCCAGACCTGAAGGACAGCTAGGGGCCATAGTCTCAGGGGTTCCATCAGGCTCTATTAGACCAGCAATCCTGGTCCCTTTTTTTCTTTTAATGATTTTTTGTTCCACATTGTTCTTCCACTCTATCCAGGATCTCCTACATAGATCCCCCTCCAAGTGATTGACAGTGGTAATCTGGTATATCTAGTTCTTCAGGTCTCATAGTCATATAGGCTGAGGACTGCATGGGTGCATAAGTCACTTGGACTAATTGTTTCCATGCATCTTTGGTTTACTTCGTTCCTCTTTGCTCTGGACAAGGAGAGATCCATTGTTGCATCTAGATGGATTCTTACAAGCTTCTAAGATCCCAGTCACTACTTGCCAAAGTAGGATGTAGAACAATGTTTTTATGTAGTATGTTCTGCCATTGAGCTTGATGTCCCTTGCAATCATGGTCCCAAGTGTACATGTCCAACTACTTGCTTCCTCTTTATAGCTGGCTGTGGCCAAGAAATGACTACAACCTTGTCCCTTGTCAGCTCTACTATATACCTGGGAATTCTTACAGAACATACAAATACACTTGTAGAAACATTGTCTGCCAACCTTATACCTGGTCATGGGCACACTCCCCCCTGCATAGACATACCTAATAGTTCAGCTTGTCCACCTATCTATCCACCCGTATACCCATGTTTGCCTTAACTGACAACTCAGTACTGTATGTGCAAAAGGGTTCATCTTTATTGTCTGTACCTTCCATGCACCTCTCTCTGTCTTCTTCTTCCTCAGTGCCACCTTGTTGATCACTCACATTTGGTACATTGCCCTTCTCTTCACCCAAATCAATACTTGTCACTACCAATCTAACACTGTTCCCTCCCGTCCCTCCCCTCCCACCCCTGGTAACCAACTGTTCTGGTTACCTAGTGCTACTCTGACAGGAAACATACCAAAAATGAGGTGGATTTAACAAACAGGAGTTTATTCTTACAATTTGGAGGCTGTAAGTCAAAGTTCAAAGTTCCAAGCTCTAGGGGGTGGGTGGAAGCCCCTCAACCTTGGGGTACAGCTCTGCCTCCTGCTCCCGGCCCACTGGAGCTAGAGGCATTTCTTCATTCAGACAGCTGGTGGTTGCTGAGGCTGAGAAGCCCAAGGTTGACAAGTAAAAAGGCACAGTCCCAATGTTACCAAACCACACGGCAGGCCATTAATTTAAGTCCATTGTAAGTCCCAAGGTCGGCAGAGCATGGCAGGCTGCTGAGCAATGACACGGCTACATGCAGGGCCCAAGTGTGCCATATGCTAGAGACAATTCCCAAAGGTGCTGCTTATATACGGGAAGCAGATCACATTCCCTAAGGCAGCTACTCAGCTGCTCATAGTAGATTCTGCCATGGAGTTGATTACCATTCTCATCATGGGGAATAACTACCACCAGCTGCCCAGCCACTCAACCAGGCCCAGCAAGTTGACACACCAACTGAACTACCACAGCGACCAAGGAAATTTCCTTCCATACATAAACCTTTCTTTGACTTTTTACAATAATGGACTTACACAATATTTGTCCTCCTGTGATTGACTTATTTCACTCAGCATAATATCCTCCAAGTTCAACCATGTTATGTGGTGTTTTGCCAATTCTACATTATTCTTTGGGGTTGCATAGTATTCCACTGTATGTATGTACAATAGTTTGGTTATCCATTCTTCTGTGGATAGTCACCTAGGTTGATGCGACAAACATGGATGTGCATATATCTGTTCTTGTCCTGGCTCTCACTTCTTTAGGATATATACCTACTAATGGAATGGCTGGGTCAAATGCTTTTTCTAATTCCAACTTTTTAAGGAATACCCATAGAGCTTTCCGCAGTGAGTTCTGTGTTTTTAAATTTTGTTATTTAGCCATTAACCTAAGTCCCTATAGAGTTTGTTTCTATATTTTGAAAAATATCAAATATATATATATATACACTATCTGTCATCCAAAGTTAAATGGAATTCATGTTAGTTATGTAAGTCAAGCAAGCTAAGGTTAAATAAACAAAAATATATTCTGTTTTATCATAACTCATCATTCTGCCTTACTCAACCAATATGGTGTAATAAGGCAAATGTCAACAATACAAAAGGTAAGGCAGGGCACTGGGATGAGAGGCAGAAGGTTAGAGGGAAGGAAGGAATGGAGATAAGTTTTATTGAACATCATTTAGTCCAGGTGCTGTGTTTAAAATCCTTATTTAAATTTATCATCAAATCAATCATATACAGAAGAGAAAACTGAGGATCAGAACTGCTAAAGTAACCTACTGTGTGTACTGAAGGATACAAACTCAAATCATGTCATCTTCAAAACAGATGAATATAGATGACAGCTCATGGTATAGGAGCTCCTTTCTCAGTGTTCTGAACCACCCTCAAACTGCTCCTTCGACCTGAAATATTTTCCTCTGTCATCATCCTCATGGCCTAGGTCAAGATTCATGTCCTTGGTGCAGGCTTCCCAAGCCCATTCCTCTCTCTCCTCTTTGCTACTGTGGCACATCATTTACAACATGCACTGTTGCTAATGTGCCATATGCATTTGGGCATTTTGTGTCCTTCTTCCTATTAAATGGAAATAACCTTATGAATAGGACAGCCTTGCCTAACTCCACATCATTATTTACATTTAGGACATTAACTGCTAACCAGAAGGCTGGCAGTTCAAACCCACCAGCCACTCCTCAGAGTAATCTACTTCCTGGGCAATCTACTTCTGTAGAGATACTGCCTCAGAAACCCAAGGAGGCATTGCTATGAATCTGGATCGACTCAACAGCAGTGAATTTGGTTTGGTTTTTGGTTTAAGAAAACACAAAATAATATTTATTTGATTGAGATTAATTAGTCAAGGTCTCAGGATAGAGGACAGTTTGTCCAACCCTCCAACTTCTTCCCATTCCCAGTAATAGATTGAAGTCTCAGACCTTCATTTTAAAATCATTCCATTTTCATCTAAGGAACTTCACTACTTTTATCTACCCCCTGATAAACAAAGTCAAGATTTTGAAGTGTTTTTTTTTTTTGTTTGTTTGTTTGTTTTAAATTCAACACTGGAGCTTTTTATTTAGACCTGGGACAGTTATCTTTAATAATTCCAAGCACCTCAGTTTTTTAATTCCCTCACATAGACATAACTAACTGAACTCCTTGAGTAAATCTTAACAATCTATTTTCTAATATGGCCTCAAATTTTGCAAACATTTACAAGATCCTTTTTCTTGGAATATTCCTTAAACGTTCATTATTACAATCTTCACTGTTACAGAGCTTGCAGAGAAAACAATTCCTTCCTTTTATTTTAGTTTTAACTATACTAGTGTAGTGCCTAAGGCACTTGACTGTTAACCAGAAGTCTGGCAATTCAAACCCACCAGCCACTCCTCGGAAGGAAGATTGAGCAATCTACG